TGAGATATCAGTGGAAAAACCGAAAATTGACTAATCATTATGCAAATTAGGTAATTAGTATCCACGGATTATTACCAAAAACTAATCAAAACCTAGCATTAGTTCAGAGCATCTATGTACCAAGTTTCATCAAAATCCAATGAGTGGTTGTTTAGATATCAGTGGAACAGTCATGGAACCACTAAAAAATAGCTAATTATCATGTAAATTAGGTAATTAATATGCACGGATTTTTACCAAAAATTAATCAAATCTGCGCATATGTTCAGAGCATCTATGTACCAAGTTTCATCAAAATCCAATGAGTGGTTCTTTAGATATCAGTGGAACAGTCATAGAACAGCTAAAAATTAGCTAATTATCATGCAAATTAGGTAATTAACGAGCATGGATTTTTACCAAAACCTAATCAAATCTGCGCATTGGCCCAGAGCATCTATGCACCAAGTTTCATCAAAAACCGATGTATGGTTCTTGAGATAGCAGTGGAACAGTCGGACACACATACACACATACACACACACATACACACATACACACATACAGACACACTAACTGCAAAGACTCCCATTTTGTGCTTCGCACATGGGAGTCAAAAACTGTACATGTCAATTCCACCTTGAAAGCGAAAAGGTCGTACCTGGTATGCATCTTGCAACTTTTCACGCTTGTCAGTTGACTTATCGACTAATTGCTCCCACGAGGATTCTAAATCACTAAGTCGTAACTGGATTTCCTCAGTAGCAAAATGGTCAGTTGCAATCAACTGTGCTCCCTCCTGTTAAAACGAAAAAAAAAGACAATGTAATGACATCACGACTTACTGATGACAATGATAGCGACAATGATAACCAATTTTTAATTTTTATCTCAATACATGTGACAGGATGGAAATGCTTACCTCACCAACACTTTCCAATCTTCCCTTATTGGCGGTCAATTCAGCTTCAAACGCCACATGTTTCTGAAGTTTGCCCTGTAAATTGGTTGGATCTTTATAATTCTCATCAGCGGCAATCTGTAATTTCTCCAAAATCCAGCCTGTCACTTCGTACATGTTCATTAGGAATTGCTGTAACTGGCGAGACTCCTCCAGTCTCCGCCTTCTCATAGAGGATAACTCAAATAATTTATCTCGTCTGTGAAAAAAAAAAAAAAATACAACAAGATGGACTGTGATATTATGCTGAATAACCAGAATAATAAATTATGGAATGACATAACAGCCCGGAAGTTGTCATAGCACCATTACAATGCTGTGAATGGTTGATTAACTTTGATCTTCACAATAATATAATATTAAACTTGATATTTATAATCGTATTCGTAATTTTTTCAACCATGCGGGATCAGCAAGTACCTGTCCAATACAGCCATACATCTTCGATTGACGGCATCTGAATCATAATGACCAGCCTGTGATAACTCTCTGGCAAACGTCTGCAACTCGTCAATCTTCTCGACTTGGGTGTCCAGAGTTTTTTCAAAACCGTCGTGTTTCCTTATAAGAGTGTCCACTGCGGCCAACGATTCCTATCAAAGAAATAAGACATTGGATTGTTATCCTAACACCTCAGGTAATTCAAAATTGAATCTCATCACATGCTGTAATAAGAATGCTATATTTGGAAATATAATGCTACAAAAGTATTTATCAGTACTTACTCCTACATCATCATTATTAAGGAAAGCTTCTTTTGTGCCGAGCCAGGCCTCAGCTTGTTCTACATACTCATTAAATACCTGTTGTAGGAGACAAAAAAATATGCATCAATATAATATTGCATTGTGGGTAGTCTATCATTCATCAATAGTGAAATTCCTGCATAATTTAGAATACTCACCATAAGGTCGTAACATTGCGCTAGTAATTGTTTTTGTTCATCCCATGTTTGATGTAGATTCTGTCTAGCTTCTGATAGATGGTGTAGTGTCTGTTTCACGTCGTCCACAGCATAGTGGTTTGAATTTATCAAATTCTCACCAAACTCTGAGACATATTTGAAAGATGCATCTCTGCTATCTATCTCAACCTGCGAAGACAAATCAATCATCTCAATATAAATGACAGCATATCAAAGAATAGCCTAAGGTTAAAGGTTAAAGAGGGTAGGCCACTATTTAAAATATAAGGAGGTCAAGCTACATCCTACAAGTCAGTTTTTCTCCATACGGTTGTTTAATTGAAGAAACCCCATTCTACAAATTACATTTACTGTATTGTGATTTACAGTGCTATCTAGTGGTAAAATAAATAAAACAAAGGTAGGTGAAAAAACTTCAAACCTTTCATTTATTCATATAAGGTTAAAAGGTTAGTATATCGTATTACCCCGGGCACACGCCCCTCCCTGGGCAAGCGCCCACCCCGTTTTCACAAAAGTTACATGTTGGGGACATCCTCGGTTAAACGCCCAGGGTGATTTTTAGCCAAGAACGGGGTCAACAATAAAGTTTTATTTGTCAAAAACGAACGCGTTCGATTTATTTAAATAGCGTGTTTGTTACGGGTAGTTCTCTTTTTGGAGTGTGTGGTGGCCCTGAAAAGGGCCGCTTTGTTTGTGTTTTTACGTAAAAACTCATTGGAACTTAACGACGTAAGATGAACCACGCAGCATGTGGCGCACACATTCTGCTTTCTCTTCATTCACGATGAATCCAATATTGCAATATTGCAACGATCCATACCTTGGTGAGTGG